CGAAAGCGATATGTCGCAGATTAGTAAACGCTCATCTAGCTTTGATCACGCGTTGAGAGATCTCCTCATCCACACCTTCACCAGTCGTTATGCAACTCCCAAAGTAGACAACGCTTTCGACTACTTCCAGTTTCATTGTTGTATCTCGTATGAGTCAGTAAGTACACAAGTAGTGAATTAAGTAGTAATTATATTTCCAGTATGTAAACGCAAACGTAGCCGGTCCGTAAGCCGGTGAGCAAGCAGTGCGTCAACACGCAGACAGGCAGGCACAGTAACTGGCGCAAGTCTTGCCAAAAGGAGTGTCGTCACGCTGGGTGGTTAACGAACCAATCAATGGGGAGAGATCAATACTGACTTCTGATTCGCTGAGGTGGATCGACCTTGTGACAGGGTAAGTCCGCATGAGGTGCGTCTGTGCGTGTGTGGCAGGCCGCAACGGTCAAACACGTGATGCGCGGTAAATGTTTCACTCGACCGCAGGCCACAACAGTCATTACCCAACGAAAGTGCAGGAATGAGTTCCTGCCAATCTTGCAAAAACACTTTGAAGGTGCAAATGACATACCGTAGCGAGTAACCTCAATTGCCAAACGGTTCAACGACTCTTGAATCGCTGGTGCGTCGTCACCCAGTAAGGCAAATCATCGGCATACTCTAAGTCTACGACTTTGTCCCCAGGAAGAAGCTCGATGCCAGCGTTCGTTACGTTATGTAACGCGTTTTCTAGGACATCATCTATGGTAAAGTTGAAGAGAAACGGAGAGATAGGGTAATCCTGTCGCACCCCACTGGTGACAGGAAATGAGGGTAAAAATTGACCATAGGCTCTAACCTTCCCCGAGGTCTGGTGACAGAGCGCTTTTAGGAGTGAGACATACTTCTTGGGTACTCTGTATCTCCGCAAACAGTTCCATAATGCGGGCAATCGATAGAGTCGAAAGACGCTCTGATGTCTAAAAACACGACAATGGTTTGTCGTCTGTATGCGTGACGGTGTTCTAGTAGCTGACGGAGAGTGAAGATGTGATCTATGCATCCACAGCGTGCACGAAACCCGGCCTGCTCCTCGCGGATTTGCTTTTCACGGAATGGGCATAACCTGCTAGCAGCTTTGGCGTTATTGGAGTCAGACTTATGCCCCTGTGGTTGTAACAGGCGTTGCGACAGCCCTTCTTGTAGATGGATGTGACAGTCGGTTCTCCCCATGCGTGGGGTACACTTTCAGTTTCCCAGATCTTCGAAAACAGTCTCATATATCACATTGCAGTATTGCTTGCTTAATTCTGATTCTGTCTGCACTGTCTCGGATTGGCTGACACGATCCACTAATGGCATCTAGTCAGACGCCGTGACGCGTACGCACGCCATTGACGTCACCTTTCAAATTTGATTGATGTCCAGAAACTGTAACGCGCCGCTCCAGGGTAGGCGTCATCACATAGGTATGAATCACCACACGTTCCCTTAAACGTAATTCTTAAATTTGTGACCACCTGCATTCTTCCACACTGGTTGCTCTATTCCCCGGTAATAAGGAGAAAGACTTTATTCTCTTTTCCAGATCTTTTAAACTACTTTTCCGTTGAAGCCGCATTTCCAGGACCGTTTTGGTTGATTTTATTGTGAGCACACATTTTATTTCATATGGTAGTTTTATCAGCCATGTACTGTCAAATGAAGAAAAATACCTGCATGTCCATCTCAATAAATCGGTGTCTCATCCGAGTGCGCGTTCCAAATTTAGGATTCTTTGTGCACATACCGAAAAAGCATCACCTTTTATTTTGCTCGTATGTTAGTAAACCGAGCAACTATTGTTACTGACTTGGAAAATCATCCGTCACATAAGTTTTTATCATATCCAATTGCTTTTCATTTATTAAATGTTTAGTTTTTTCAATGCCGAACGTTTTCTTCACTGTAACTTGTCAAAAGTGCTGAGAATTCACCCCATTGAGCGCATAAAGCTTAGCTTGAGTTGACTTGTATGGAGGACACAATATGCACGTAGTATGGACAATCCCGTTCAGTACATCCATAGGTGAGTACGTAAGCAAACGAACCGAAAACCACTAGTGTAGGCACTGCACGCAATCGGGGGTACGATCAAGTAGGATGGTCCAGGAGGCAGAGAATTACTCTACGCGGATATGGAAACATTGAAGCAGATCGATATTATTTAGAGTATCAAGTTTGGATTAGCCTATTCGATTGTTCAGAGATACCAAGCACTCTTGATGGTCTTGGGTGTGGGTTACTCTTTGTGGGAGATCGTTAATTCCCCACTCGTTGAATGCCATACATTGCATTTAACTAGTATGGAAGTAACGATCCCCCAAGGCCATCAATAGTGCATGAATGCTGGTGGAGAATACTCCGAGAAAATCTAATGCTTATTTTTGTGTAACAAAAGAAACTTTTTGCGCGTCCGGAAACCTTATGCTCAGCCGTCGTAGGGTATTGATCTCATCAGAGGTGTTGAGTTCTGACGAGAGTGAAACTCAAGTCTGTTGTTACCCGAGAGTAAAGTTCACTGGATAACTTGAGGATTGTGCATCAAGATGAAGTCGGAAGGACGATCAGCAACATTCAATAGAATCTTGTGACCGAAGAGTAGGACAACGTCAATTTGGGAGATCGATAAAAAAAGTTTCAATGAGTTGTTTCTCGTCCCATTAGGGACTTCACTGTGCGACCATAAACCCGTTCGAGTAGCATCTAAAAATTCTTTCGATTACATATAAGTCTATTCGTTCAACGCAGGCAGCAGCCAATAAATTTGGGTACAAGTAGCATACGGGAGATCGGTGGATATCCCGAACGGTTTGTAATTAATGCCTTGGATCAACCTTAGAGAAGGTTGGTGTATTCGTAATTTGAACAGAGCAATGAGGTCATCACTCTTGAAGTAAAGAAAAATAATGTTCCACATTTTCTGAGGAGAATATTTTCACTGCAACTGGTGGCTCGTTCTGTTTATCAATAAACGCCTTACGGTAGCCAGTCTTGTGAGGAATCTCTACCAAATTTACAGCCTCACTGTCGCTACTGTCTTTCGGAAACAGGTCACAATAATATCTTACAGAAGCCCTTTCGTATAACGCTTCAGCAGACAGATCTCGAGATGATTTCATCTTGTCTAAGAGCTATGATGGGAAGGAATTGCGATCGCTTTTCGTGATCTGACTCGATGTTGGGGTGCGATTAGTTTAGTTCCTCCATACAATCGGTTATTTCAGTGTTTGTTTGTGACAACTGTACTGTTGCTCACGTTATATTAATGTTACGCTCTATAGTGTGATACAAAAGTAGATAGATGGAGGGAACCACAGAGTCAGAGACACTGGAAACCTTAGCCATGGCACTACAAGTGGAAAACCACACTAGACCGTTACTGATGTTAAACCGAAATGTGAAATAATCTCACGCGAAAGGTTACCAGCGACGACAGGATACAAATCTTGGACCACAGCACGGCTGTGACAATTACCTGCAACGTTTAACAAGCATGCTGTGTTGTTCTTTCAAGTTAATTCTCACTCATAGGTCGCCGAGCCGGTGGTCGGTAGGGTTCCAGAAGCGTGCTCATCTTCGAAAAAAGATGCACCAGTGATACGTAACATGACAAAGAATTCGAGGATAAGTTTAAATGAACTCATCTGAGACGTGTGGTTTCAAAAATCAGCTAGCAGAAACCAAATAGTAAAAATAATTGGCTGTTTTGATGTTAGGACGGAATTCGCAATCGAGGCCTACTGCAAACTGCATCAACATATAAGTTAATTAACTACTCACATTGGACAAGTCACAGTATCGATTTGACTCGTCACACGGTAATGGTGATCATCAGTAGTGCGTAACAGTCCTTGGTAAGGTAAGCAGGTGGGCTCTAGTGAACAGATCGATTTAGTTTGTGCAGAACATGATGCCAACCGACCGGAGCAAAGGAGATTGATCAATCAGAACTATAAATACAATGTAAGATAGACTCTCTTAACTGTCGCATGGTATTTCAAGTCAATTAGAAAGCAATCATTGGTTTCCATCTAGCGTCTCATCCCTCCTCACCAACTTGAAGTCCCTTCATCAAGAACAACATTGAGGAATCAATTATCCAGCTTCTTTCTCCAAACTAACAGCGAAAGGTGATGCCTTTCAGAGAAGACACATCCAGAACGACACCCTATCCCCGGCCAACACTCACGGTTCTCATCCGTTGACGGGGACTACCACAGCCTAAAGCAATTTTCTGTGAATGGTTAGTTTTGCAACATTTAAAAGCGTAAACTACGCAATTTTGGTGTCCAGATGTGTGTCGAAATTGTGATGGCTGAACGGCAGGTCATCCTCTCAAGAACGGAGTGGACTATCTCAGCTATTGGTCACAAAATGACGTACAATACAAGAAGAACTACCCGCACGACAGCCAACTACTGTTGTGTTATAAACCATAACATGTGATACTACTAATGGCCATTCATGATTCGAAAAATTCAACCAGTAACAAAAAGTTTCCGGGATGAATTCTCGGTATTTGGGACGAGTTTTCATATCAAAAATGTACAACACGTCCCCCGCCTGAGATCGCATATGAACTCAGGACGTTGAGTTGACCTATATCCTACGATAGACGCGCTACCGGCGTCCACCATCACTGATACAAACTGTCCTTGTTATCTCCTTGGCACGAGAGACAATTTTGGTGGCGTTGGCATCCGCATGGAGTTTTTCAGCCTCTAAACATACATAAGAATTCGTATGTATCGCAGAAGTGAACCGTTCAGTTATGAAAAAACGCATAACTCGAATATCATTTAACTGAAGGCATTCTATTATACAAAGGTAATGGGAGAGAGAGGGGTGTGGTCAGGGTTGCTCGTTCGGAATGGCTGAGAGAGTGCTACCGACTAAACCAAGTCGGAAGACCGCGGGCCTGTAATTTCACCTCATCAGCGGACACCGCGGGAGATTTTGTTTCGTCTGACTCGGTACGGACAGTCGCCAGCTTGGTTGTTTCTGCACTTTCTTCCGATTCGGATTCCAATTTTGCAGTATCGAACGCATCTAGCGCGTCAGAAGTTCGTTTTGTTTTGAACAGGTCGGGAAATTCAAAAGTTGTTCCGGGTGCCTGAATAAAACGCAGACGAGGTTTTGAATATGGGTTATCAAGTTTCAAATGAACAGAA